AAACTGAAACTATTATTAAATTGGAGATGTATTCAATAAACCTCACCTACAAAATATCACTGTTTAGCAACACAGTACAAATGTGTACTGGATGCTCACCCTTCTCAATCCTGTGGCCCCTGGGAGCTGCTGCTGGCTACCTCACCCAGCATCATGAGGACCAAAGAGCACATCATCAGCCTGAGGAAAATAAATTAAAATTCAAAATATGATTCTCATTAAATGTTTATTGACTTTATAACATTGTGAAGTCAAAAAATTCTAAGTGATTCATCATAAGTTAGGAAACCTTTTTATATGGATACGTGTGTGCATATACTATAAACTTACAGGTGTCAAAAAGCTCCTAATTACTAGTCAATGAATTAAGTTTTATTTATTCATTTAACAACTGCTTTGTGTCAGGCATCATACTTAGGTTCTGAGAAATACAACAGGTTCTGAGAAAAACAAGACAGAGCCAGTTCAACTCTTCAAAGAGTCAAGAGAATAGCAGTAAAGACAGGAATAAGCAAATCTACCATCAAGTAACAAGCACTATGGAAAGGAAAAGTCCAAAGTGTTAAGAAATCACACTAGTAAGCTTACAGAGGGATTTTAGAAAAGGTGAAATGACCTCAATCTTGTAACCTAAAGAATGAGAACTTTAGGACAGTGTTCCTAGAATACCCAAAGGCCAAAATGGAGTATCAAGAAATAAAGTTGGAAAGGTATACAGAATCAACATCAAGGAAGGTCATAAATCATAAGGAATTAGAAGTTTATCTTGGTAGGAAAATTACTTATTTTAAGCATAGGACTGATGGAATTTACTCTAGTAGTAACAATCTAAATTGAAAGAAAACAGTTAAGTATTCACTAGTTTCAGGACTTTCTCCTTCCATATCCAAATATGGGATGCTCCAGACCTTTATTAAAATGATATAATATTTGCACATAATGTAGGCGTATTCATACATAGATATGTAAGATATTTGAAACAAGTCAGGGGTTTATCTCAGCGGTGTAAGTGTCTGCTTGGCAAACATGAGGTCCTGAATTTGATCCCTGGCACTAAAAAAAAAAAAAAAAAAAAAAAAAAAGAGAGAGATATTTGAAACAGGGTCTATGATGCTCAAATTAATGTGCTGAAGAGATTCTACTGCCTTGGCCTACCAAGTAGCTGGAACTACAGGTATATGCCACTATGCTCCTCCAGTGTATTTTAAATCATCTCTACATGATTACTTATAATACTTAATACAATGAAAGTGCTATATTAATCACTGTTTTACTGTATTGTTTAGGAAACAATGACAGGAAAAAATCTGCTTATGTTCATTACATCTGCAATGTTTTTCTGAATATTTTTAGTTCTGATTGAATCTATAGATGGAGAACCCATGGCTAGACTGCAAAAAAGACAACTGCTGTTATTCAGTTGACAAATGATAGCACTGGAAATGAAACAGTTAGCTATTTAACATGTTCGTTATATAATCTAGACACAGATAATCTAGATTGGATGGAAGAAAACATGAAATAACAAAGACATAGGGATAACACCAAAGGTGTTGGCCTTAAAAGTTAATGAGTCTATTAATTAACAAAAGGTGTTTTTAGGAAAAAAGAAGAAACTGAAATATTTATGAAGTAATGAAAATTTCCTTTAAACTCCCTTTAATTTCCTAGGCCTCATGAGAGGTCTAGGCTAGAGATACAAAATTAGGGTGCCATCAATTTATATATGTAAATGAAGTTGCTAGTGGGGAAACAATATCCAGGAAATGTATGCAACATAAAAGAATGCTTACATATATTTGGGTCTGGTGGTTCATGTAATCCCAGCTACTTTCAAGGCTGAGGCAGGAGGATCAGAAGTTTGAGGCTTGCCTGGGCAACTTAGTAAGATCCTGTGCCAGTAAAACAGGACAAAACAAAAACAACCAAACAAATGAAAGATATAGCTCAGTTACTCCTTGGGTTCAAACTCCAGTATCAAGAAGAAAAAGGAAAAAGAAAAAACTTTTGATAGAACTGTGATAGTCACTAAAAGGAAAAAGCAGAGAAACACATTAGAAAGAAAACTACACATCAATGAGGGAGGATTCAGGATCTATCTATCGATCGATTGATCAATCGACTGTGTGTGTGTGTTTGTGTGTGTGTGTGTGTGTGTGTGTGTGTGTCTATGTTTAAATAAGGAAAACATACCCATCTTAGGAAGAGGAGAACTTAAAATATTAGCAGGAAAATGTGAAATAATGGCATAGGATAAAGATTAAAAAGTATTCACTAAATTTAATTACATAAAAATGTCCCTGGTGACCCAGACTAACTAGAAACATTTATGTGGGGGAAAGAGAATGGGTTTATTTCCAGGAAAAAGACAAACAGCAAGTTACTCATTTCTTGATCCCTTTATAAAATGTTTAGGTACATCTTTCCTAGTCTAGAGAACTGGCTTAGATTGGTGGTTCTTAACCGTTTTATGTGTGACAACACTTATGTAATGGTAAAAACCCCAAACATAAAAATCATTATATTTTTTATCACCACATGAAAAAAAACTGAATAAAAGTTATCATAAATTTGATAACACTCTCGAATACCAAGGCTGTTCAAAAAAAAAATTTGATAACACTCAAAATCACAAATTATTGGGGGAAAATATTTAAGACATCTGCAGAACTAGGATACATAGCTGGAATATTTGGTAACCCCTTATTATACAACTGAAATCCACAGATTAAGAATTACTACATATAAAATTATCTTCAAATAACTTATAATTTTGAAAAACTATTATTCAAGTTAAAAAATTACTGAAGAAAAATTGCACACCATATGTCAATGACCTAAAATGAAACATGATTTAATACTTCAGTGTCATACACTACTAACTGTAATTAGATGCTTTTCTTTAATAAGCTGACATTCCTGTTAATTAAAATATATTAATAGTCTTTATATTTGCTTTGTAAGTTTTTGCTATTCCAGAAAAAAGGTAACTGAATAAATTTTATATTGGTCATGAAAATTTCAAATCCATTAGACAAGAGTCCAGAAATTTCACTAGTTCATATTAGACTAGATGATGCAAACATATTAGATGCAAACATAAGCCAGCACACAAAATCCACAAATTTTCTCTTGCTCCTACTGGACACTTACTGATAATATTAGTCTACTCTTTCATTTACTTAAAAATTACAGCTATTGCTCAGGCGGAGAAATAACTGTTAGGGCAATAGAATTCAGCCAGTTTTCCATCAGTTGAAACAAATGCTTTGTTATTTAGCAGAAGCCCAACAAAGTTGCCAATTTAAAGGCTACTGCTCAAACACAAAGCAAGTTTTCTAACCACGGATACTAAATTACAATTAGTGGCAGTTATATTTAGACAGTCTAATAACTCTAAGCACTAGACTTTAAAATACAAAAATAGGCATTTAAATATATATACTGGATATCAAAGTTAAAGTATTTCCATTAAAAATAACCAAGACATTTCATTAAAAAATAATCTAGAAAGTTTTCAGTGCAAACCCAAGGATTCCACAGGGTGAACAATGCGATAAGAATATGCTTTGCTCAGTTTTATTTCAGATTATATAAACATCACTTTAGAGGCACTGCAGTTACACAAAGGATTCACTCTTTTTTTTTTTTTTTGTAAGAATATAGAGGTACTCATGACCTCGAGCTCGCCAGGCAGTTGCTTATGCCTCGGAGCTAAATCCCCAGCCCAAAGAATTCACTCTTAAAGGTCTGAGTTTTAGCAATCAAGTGAATAAAAGCAATTTGCTAAATTCTATCAAATACTAATGGTACAGATCTTCTAGGATAAGTTAGAATGGTTGAAACATCAATGAAATGTTAAAAATATTTTTATACACACAATCTGTTTTTAATGATTGTTGCAGAACTGAATACTTTTATGTACTTTTCATTTTATGAGTAAAATTAAAAGTAACATAGGAATTGAGTAGTGAATTTCATATATGAAAGACTTGTGGTAACTCTCCTGATAACCACCTTCACTAACAGCACTCAGAGTCATCAGTTTTTAGTCCTGAATGAAATAGAAGAGGTCTAACATTTTAATCCTCTTATTCAACAGGGATGGCAGTAAAGCGCGGAGTAATAATCACGTTCCCAAAGTAACAAAGTTGGAGAGTCCAATATAAAATGACACCTCCCTAGTTTTCATGGCCCATGGGTTCTTTACGTTATTGTGATACATACATCTTTTCTGATTGAAAACAGGCCATGTTTTACTTTCCCACAGATAAAGTCATACTGCTTTACAATGGTCGAGCACATGCCTCACACACTGGTGGGCACTAACCTCTAACACTAAACTTTGCAAAAACGTGTAGAAATGAATGTGTGTATGTAAGCTTGCATATGTACTAATACTAATTACATGTATACGCGACCGGGAATCAAGTTTTTTCCAAACTTTATTCGGATACTATCACTATAATTATAGACTCAATAAAATACTCCACCTCAATCGCAGTAGTGTTAACCAGCTAAAACAATTACCTGTACAGCTGTCAGATATCAAAAGGATTTAATAGTTCGACAAAATCATACAAAACAGTTCACCAGACTCCAATCTTGTCTAACATCAGACAACTTTTGTTAGCCATATTTCCTGGTTTTGGCCAAAAATTTTCAAAATTTACTCCCATAGATTCTTCGCTTGCTAATTAAATGACCATTACATGTGCAAACGTTCCTGTACTTGTTACTCTAGATATAAATGCTGTGTCACTTAAAAGAGAAGCAAAAGGTTTTCCTAAAACCTAGAAGAAACTGTCAAACAACACTGCTAACCCGTCCCCGCCAGCTACTCCATCTCCTACTGAGGCACACAGAAATTAGTCTCCTTAAACTTGTGCGCGGCCATTTGGCAGTTATGGACAGATGGGAAGACCCCTCACCAGCACAACCCATCAAGGAAAAGCTGCATCCACTCAGTTTCACTTCTTTGGCCCGGGGCCACTTCTCACCATTTCCAGGTGGGCGCCGGAGCCTTCTGGATGTCCGCTGCCCAGGGCTGGGCTGGCCCTGCCCTCCGGGGTCTTCCGCTCGCTGTTGCGCTTCAAACCGGTGGCGTCGCCCCTGCCTCCGGCCTCCCGGCGCCGCCGCTGGCGGCTCCACAGGTACACCGCTCCCGCGCCCAGCAGCAGGGGCGCCCCGACAGCCAGCGCCAGCTGCCATCGCGGTAGGCCCCCAGTCCCGGGTCCCGCAGTCCCGCCGCCTCCGCCCACTCCACTCCCGGAGCTGGGCGCAGCCGCTACGACCGCGGCCGCCTCCACTGGCTTAGAGGCGGCCATGACGAATGTCCTCTGCTACCTCCTCTTTACCAGTCACAGGCGCCACAGTCAGCAGGTAGCGTGTAAAGACACACACCGTACGGAAAGAAGGAAAGCAAGCAAGGAGAGAGCACGTTAGGCAAAGGAAGAGGACTGCAGAAAAAGGCCAGAGGTCACCGGAAGCCCAGGGCATGACGGGACAGATCTGGACGTCAGACTCCTCCCCTCTCAACTGTAGGGAGAGTCACTTCCGGGTTAAGGGACCTGGTGACAGTGGCTTGGTGGCAACCCCTTTCCCTTGGCTTTTTTCTTGGGGCTGTTTGTGATAATCGCTTGCGGGGTCTTGCGCTTCCCACGGTACCAGTTGTCGTCGTTTCCCTTTTAGGAGGAACGGACAGGTGGCTGTATTGCCATTCGGGGGAAGCAGGATAGGCGCGTATGCAGCATGTTTGCGCAGTGGATCAGAATAGAGGGAAAACGCGCGCTGAGAATCGGCGGGAGTGGCAGAGGAACTGCGTAGGTTGTTGGCTGGCGGGGATGGTGACCCGCCTAGGTAGATTGGAGACTACATTTTCCAGTTCCCGTTACGTTGTTCAGCTTGGACCTCGGTGCCCTTATCTTTCTGCGTTTTATATGTCAGAAAAAGAACTGAATATTGAATATAGCCTGCTTTATCAATTATCTTCCTGTCTGGCCCGTAGTCAGAATTTACTCTGGACGGATTTGAGGTTAGGAGGGCAGGAGGAGAGTGTTGACTCAGTGGAAAAGTGTGAAGCTGTATTGATTTCGGAGGAAAGAGATGAACCCGGATATGTGCAGTCTCCATCTGCATCAGTTTTGAAAGTATGTGTCATTAGGATGTTTTGGAACTTAGTGGTCCGAAATATGAAGCTTCAGCGTTCCTGCCTGCTTCCAACTTTCCTTTACGTATTTGTAAGTGGAGCTGGATTCCACCTGATACTCCAGCCTATCCGACCCTGTCAGAATTCTTGTTTCAGCGTCCTGCTATGCCAACACAATGCTTGCTTTGTAGCATTTGTCTTCAGCTGGTTTCATTGTAATCTGAAACTATATAATTTCAATTTATAGGTTTTATATTTCTAATAGCTTGTCAATCAAGTCTTTGCCCCATGCTTTGTACCAGATATCTTTTTAGGGGGCGGATTCTGGGGATTGAACTCATCATCTCACGCTTGCCAAGCAGGCGCTTGTGCCGCTGAGCTAAATCTCTGTGCCTGTATCAGGTCGCTTAAAATATGAAAATTACCCTTGTGAAATATTTGGAATTCACAATATGTTCACGAAAGGACAAGAAATAATAAGTGAGAATACAAAATGTAACTCCTTATTTCACATATATTGGTTTGCAGACTCATTACAATTCTATAGAAGTTTGTCTTTTAAATTCAATGAGGATTTTCAAAATCATAGTAACACTGCATGGACGTAGAAAGAAGTTAATTTATTACGTTGCAACAAAATGGACTGATTAAAACAGAATGGGGTAATTTGAACAAGTTTCACGATTTTCTCTTACTTTACACAGGTTTCTACTAGTAAATTGCTTTCAAGCAATAGGATTGCTTAGTAACAAAGTAAGAAAAATGGATAATAGCTGTGAAATTGAACTGATGAAATAGTGATTGTTGCAGCCAGTCACTTTCCTCTGTACCTTAAACCCTAAATAATTCTCCTGTTCCTTATAATCTTGACTTTCCCTTTTCAGAATAGGAAATTAGGATTTTTCTTTCCTGAAATTTCATTTTATCTGTGGCATTATGGAGGACCATATGGTGGTAATTCTAAACTACTGGAAGGATCTAAAACGTTTAAAAAGAAGTATTGCTTATTTATTGGAAATAGCCAATAGATTGTTATGGTTCAAATCTAAAAGTAACAGGATTTTTTCTGTGAAATGTTTTCTTCCAGTCGCATGGTTCCCCTCTCCAATGACAATGGAAGTTTGTTAGTTTCTTGAAACATTTGTTATACTAACAAATATTTATTTAAAGGTTTTATTTTGTTTGGTTTTTTTTAGGATTTATATTTATAAATCAATTTTGTTGGGGCTGGAGGTTTAGCTCAGCGGCATAAGCACCTGCCTTGAAAGCAGGCAGTCGTGAGTTCGATCCCTGGTACCGATAAAAATGAAAAAACAAAAAAAAAAAAAAATCAATTTTGTTACTTTTGTATTTTTTTAAAATGCCATTTCTTTCTCTTTTTTTTTAACGGTACTTGCTTATGCCGCTGAGCTAAATCCCCAGACCCTAAAATGCCATTTCTTAGTTTGTTTGTCTCTTTTCTTCTATTCTCTTTTTCATTTGCCAATTTTTATTGTATTGTAGCGCAGAAATAAGAAAGTCATTTCCCAGTTTTATGATTTTACTGACTTGATGCATACTTATGAAGTGGTGAAAACACACATCTCTCATGTTGTAGTAAAGATTTAATGAGATAATACTCAAAGTTCTTTGTTGTTTGTTACAAGATAATAGACAATACTTAGTTCTTTATTTTTCTAAATATTAAAGGAGGAAGGTAAAATATGGTAATATGAATTTTTTTAAAATAGATTAATGGAAATCAAAAGAAGCAACTTCACCTCTTGTTTGCTGTGTATTTAAGGAGGCATTTCAGTAAGCTAAAAAGTCTTTGGACTGAGATTAAGAAGACTTGAGTTCTTATTCTAGATTTTAATCACTGAGCTGCGATGTCACTGAGGGCAACTCTGTTTTCTGACTTTTAAATTGTATGATTGTACCTCCTTAATCCCGATTGCTGCATGAGGCTTTCAGATTGATAGAGTTGTTAGATAGTTCATTTCTACTGTCTAGACTTTCCAATCTACAAACATGCTGTTATGAAGGACTTACATACACAGCTTTAGGTCAATTCTGTTTTAGGTTTTCATTCTGTTTCTTGTACTTGAAAAATTACTGGGATGAATTATCTATATCTGTTACCTCTACTAATGCATCATGCATTTACATCTATAATCTATTGTAACCTATTATAATTAGTTTGAAATTGTCCGAGCAGGCACTAAATTCTTTGTTGTTTTGTTCTTTCATACCCTTTTTATTTTATTTTAAGGAAAAAAATCAAGCAGCAAACCTAAAAAGACAACAACAAAACAAAACAGAAAACAATAACAGAAAACAACAATAGTTGTATAGGTTTTCGAAACAAAGTGATAGAAAATTAATAATGGTTGTTATCCTGAATATTGTTATCCTCAAAATTGTTGTTCTGGCTACCAGATACCGGAATAAACCAAAACTGTAAAATGGAACAAAACATTGGATTTCAGAAATAAGGCAAAAGAAGTCCCCCACAGGTGCCACGGTATACACTGCCATCTTCCAAATAGATGCCAAGACCATCAGCCCCAGCTCTGCAAAGTCAATCAAACAATACAAGTTTCAAGCTATTCCTTTCACCTCAATTGCTATGATCTCAACCTGAGTCCTCTAAATCAGCCAGTTGCTTATGGGGGAAGGAAGTATATGCTCTTCTGGTATCCCAGCCTGAGCACTGGCTGGCTCACAGGAAGGTGTGGTTCAGTCTTCTTGCTGAGTCTCTTCCTGATCTCCATAGAGGAGCCTGGCTCATGGGAAGACCCTTCCATATACTTTTATGTGATACTATTTTCCTAAAAATCTTGTTTTCCTGACTTTCAGGAGGTTAGACTGTCTTGATTCATTTATGCCTAACATGTCTCTAGATTGGTGCTATCCAATAGGACTTCTTGTGATAGAAGTATTTTATTTGTACAATGTCCAGTCGCTAGTATGCTGTAATCACTGCTCCTTACATGTACAATTGCATTTGCTTCTAATGGATCTACCTTGTTTATGCTTTGTATCTCACCTTTTTTTTTTTTTAATATGGAAGCTCTGTTATTCTCTGAGCCTTCATGCTGTTAATTTTTCCCCCAATTCTGATGCTTTCTTATTCAACTTCTCTTAAAGCATCGGTTGAGTGGGTGCTATTGCTTTGCTCCTTGGGGGAATGTCATGTCATGATTCAATCTAATGACTATTCTTTTTGCTGTCACAAGAAGCTTCTGCATTTATCTTCAGGGAACAATATATAATAACTCTAGTTCATTTTTTCACTGTGATTGATAGCTCATACATATATTTTATGCACCCTTTTGCTACCTTTCTGCCCACTCACATAAATTTATAAGCTTTTTCCATTCTCATCAACTTGCTACCCACAAGATTTGTGTCATTTTCAAATGTAGAAATGTCACCTTGCATTTTAATTTCTGAAGATATTACATGCATAAAGATATATGCTTATTGTGCTCTGCACAAGAATGTTGGGAAAAGTGTGGACTAAGATCCAATCTGCACTTTGCTCATTATAGTCTAATGGTGTCTGCCTGGAAAAAAACGTACTTCTTTTTCTTTTCTTGCATAAAAATACTTGCTATTCCATCACTAAGTGATGGGCCAAGCATCTGTCCAAAAAGGACACCATTTTCCATCTCTGGCTGGTAGTCCTAGTTATATACTCCTGGTCTGTAGGTTAGTCTAGATTTGACCATGAGAACTTCTAGGATTTGCTTTTCTATCTTTGCTTTTTGCTGTTTTTTCCCCCCAAGAAATGGAAAATAGCTCCAATTACAACAAAGAGATGGAGACCCAATTTTGTTAAATTACAAAAAACCATAAAGCCAAAAAAGTGTCTGTCTCTGTGTTCTGGTTGTTTATTTCTGCTTCACAAACACTCCAAAATATGGTAAGTTAAAAGTTTATATATATATGATATAGATACAGATGACAAATCTCTGCCTATCTATCTGATATTTTGTTGCCAAAGAAGATTTTATAGCTAGCTGCTGTTGTCTGTGCTTGACAGGGTATTCTCTGCTCATACCAACAGAGGTTACTTAGTAGCATTCAGCTTGTGAATGGATTTGTATAGCATTCAGGATCAAAACATTATCCTGAGTATACTTGAACTAATCAAGTGAATGCTTAAAAAGAGGTTAAAAAAGATTTTTTATACTGTTTGTGCAGTAGCAAACTACACAGGGAAAGGAACTCTAGGAACTGAGAACGGACCTAGCCAGCAGCCAGCAATAAATGATTGATTTTTTGTCTAGTTCATCTGTCTTTTTGTGACAGTGGGGTATTGAGATCCCCCAACACAATCGTATTAGTGCTTATTTGAT